CCTCATTCTGTTTCTTCCCCCCCCCTTTCCACCTGCCCTCGGTGCCTTGCTCTATTACACGCAGGCTTCTGCGCTTGCGGTTTGCTCCTGAGTGTGGTTGTGCAGTGCAGATGGGGGTGACGTGCGCGCCAACACGTGGGACTTGATATTTATCTACAAACATATATTTATATATTTATATTCGTATATTTAAGACTCGCTTAGTCGCTTTCTCTCTTCCCCCCTCCCTCTCGCTTGGACACACACATACAAGTTAATGTGTGCATTCGACGCGGTGAAATGACAGAAAAGAAAACGATGAGTGAATGCGGGAGGCAGTAGCGTGGATGGAGGCGGTGCGTGCAGCAGCGATGCCCACATGCCGGCTTTCAACTCGCCACGGTTTTTGCGTCTTGTTAAGTGCTGTTTTGAAGTTCATTCTGTTGACAGTATTCTGTTATACGTGGGTGTCCCAGTGTGCTTGGGTGAAGACAACAACCCCCCAAGACAAAGAAGACACGGGAAGGGGCGGGGGACGAGATGAAAAAGCCTCAGCGCCCGCGAAGCGACATTAATGATGGGGCGAAAAACAAAGAAAAAAATACACACACATATATACATAAATAGTAAGGAAACAACTCAGACGTGGCGGAATAAGGATAGTAGTGCTGTGGTGCGCATACGACCATTTGTTATCTGCTGAATGCGTGCCTTGGTGGGGGATACGTGCTGCTGCTGCTGCTATATGCTCTCTGCCTTTCCCTGATGCTGTCCTTCTCTCTCGCTCTCTCTCTCTCTCTCTATATGTGTGTGTGTGTGTGCTGCCTCCATGAAGGCTGGGGGGACGCGCAGTTCTCTTTTTTGGCAGCAGCGGCAGAAGGAAGAGGCGCGCATGTATTCCCGCGGCGGTATGCGACTCGCTGCTGCTGCTGCTGCTGGCGGTGGTGATGGTGGTGGTGGTTTCTCCTCCGCCGCATTCACCGGCGACGATGGTGGTGAACACGCTCAACGTGAGTCCACGCGTGCCCAACATGTCGGTGATGCCAACAGCAACGGCAGCAGCAGCGAAGGTGCAGCGGCAACGGGAAGCAGCAGGCCCACCATCGACACGTATCGTGCCATGCCGACGCAGCAGCTTGAGACACTCCTGCGCACACGTGAGCAACAGGTGCGAAAGTTGCAGGCCATTTACGAGAACTTCCACTATGAAGCCGATAAACGCTTCCGCACAATGGTGTTCGACTACCACGACAAGGCGCTGCAGCTGTCGCAGGTACACGGCAAGATGCAGCTCGGCTCACTGCAGATCAGCCGCGAGGCGCTTGTGAAGATGCGCGAGCAGCAGGAAATGTACAATCGCGACCACCGACTCGTTCTCACAGTGTGCACAGTATTCACGTTTGTGTTCTGGGTGTGGGTGCGGCGGCATTATATCCGCCGTGAGGATCTCGACGGTACGGAGGCGCAACTGCGCGTGCCTATCAACACCCGCTCCGTCACCGGCATTGGCAGCTACAACGAAAATCCATTTGGCTCGTCCAAGCGCAGCGCTCGCAACATGGAGACTGCGTGGGAGCGGGAGGTGCGGGAACGACAGCAACAAGAGCAGCAGCAGTAGCGGCAACAACAAGAACAATCTGCCCGTGCTGCTGCTGCTGCTGCTGCTGCTGCTGCTCCTGTGATTGCTGTGTAGCCTGCATACCGGACATACAGCGAATACCGAAGAATACCACAACTATGACAATACAGAAGTGATGTTTTTTTTTTTCAGTTTGTACAACTGCCGCAGCATGACTATTGCTCTTTTCAATCTCCCTTTTTTTTCTTTCATCTGTTTCCCCCCCACCCATTGCCGTTGATTTTCTGCCACCTCTCCGTTCCTGTAGAATCCGACCAACCTCCTTTGTTGCGTGCAAGACGTCATGGGGCGGAAGTACGACTTTGCGGAGAGTGTTCTCCTCACACAGGAGGACCTGCAGGCGCGCATGCGTGCCGTTGCGCAGCGCATCGCCGACGATTACCGTGACAAGGACCTGCGCCCCATCACCAACCCGCTCGTGCTGGTGTGTGTGCTGAAGGGCAGCTTCATGTTCACCGCGGACCTCTGCCGCGCTCTCTTCGACATGAACGTGCCGACGTGTGTGGAGTTCATCTGCGTCACGTCGTACTGCGGGGGCATCGCGAGCACGGGGCAGGTGCGCATGCTGCTCGACACGCGCCAGAGCATAGAGGGCAAGCACGTGATGATCGTTGAGGACATCGTCGACACCGCGCTCACGATGGAGTACCTGTACAATATGTACAAGGCGCGTAAGCCGGCGAGCATGAAGACAGTCGTTATGCTCGACAAACCGGAGGGGCGCCGCGTGCCGTTCAATGCCGATTACGTCGTGGCGCGGATTCCGCACGTGTTCGTGATCGGCTACGGCCTCGACTACGAGGATTGCTACCGCGAGGTGCGCGACGTCGTCGTGCTCCACCCCAAAGTCTACCGCGACCGCGAACCAGAGCAGCAGGGGCAGAAGGGTAAGGAGCCCGAGGCGGGGCGTGTCGAGAGCAAGCTGTAGCTGCAGCAGCAGCAGCAGCAGCACAAATACCTCCACACTCACGCACAGTGTGTGAGTGGTGAAGCGAGAGAGAGAGAGAGAGAATGGGAGATAGGAGGCCAGGCATGCGCGCACACGTGTGCGCATGCGTACAGAGCACGCCGACTGGCGGTCCGGACGGCGGAGCTGTTGCCGGCGGCACGGTATGTGATTTAAATGTGGGAATATGCCGCGTGAGTACAGAATATTGCTGCGCAGAGGCGCAGTGGACGTTCTTGTATGCACGCAGACGCCCAGAGTCTGTCAAAATAAGGTGTAAAAGAATGAGTGAATAAACGACACACCCAGAAATGCAGACCAGGGGAGCGAGAGAAAGAGAGAGAAAAGGAGAGAAATAAAAAAAAAAGAGAGAGAGAGAGAGAGAGTTGACAGAATACATGCGATCTGCGTCGCGTCGTTTTGGTTGATCCGAATTGTGGAGTATTTATTCCTTTTGCTTTCAGCGGTTTTTGTCTTGCGTGGATGCGTAGCCTCACGCTCGTCAGAGCACGCGCAGTTCTGGGCATGTTCTTTTCGGTGAGTGTGGGGTGTGAGCCGGAGAGGTGCCTCTTCTTCTGTGGGCGCCTGCGTCCTTGGAGTGCTACACAGCATGCCACTCCACACAAAAGCATGTACTCCCTTCTCCATGATTTTTTTTTCTGTCTGTGTGTCTGTGTGTGTGTGTGTGTGTCTGTGTGTTTGTGTGTGTGTCTGTGTGTGTGACGTCGCCACGGCTGGTGCGGGTGGCATCCCTTTGCGTCGCCTCCCAGGTGTATTCGAGTCAATGTGCGTACATATGTGTTGCATGCGTCCAGCAGCTGCCCACACCCCTATATATATATATATGTGTGTGTATGTATATATATATATAATTTATATACATAATTATATATACATACAATATGCGAGCGTGTGCCTGCAGCGCATGAGTGAGGCAGACGAGGTTGTGTGGGAAAGTGGTGACTTCGAATTCGTAAGAGGGGGAATACTTGGAAATATGAATTCCATAAAAAAGAAGATGAAATACATATTTAGTTGTACACACAGAAAGGCAACAGGGCGATAAGCCAAAACGGAAAAGATTGCCGATAAGTAAAATGTCTGGGAAGTCTTCTAGGAATAGACATGACGCTTGTGGGTAACTGTACTCATCTATGCCTCACTAACTGGGTATTCCTCATCGCTACCGCTGCCGTAGAGGTGATATATTAGCGTCGATGTGTGTATGCTGTTGCTATGTTGTACTCCCTGCTCCTTTGGTGTCACTCTTCCTCTCATTCCCTGCATTCTTATGACGTCTCGTCGCTGCTATTGTTGCTATCATCATCTTCCACATTTAAAAGGGGAAGGGGTGAAGTGTCTTGGAGGAACTAAAATCTTTCTAAACAGCAGAAACCCGAAGAAAGAGGAAACAGGAAATGATCTCGTCGTGCCAGCAGAAGGAACACACAGTCAGCAGGAATGCACAGGGCGTACTCGTCGTTGACGGCAAAGAGTACGCAATGGCTGAGGATCTCGTCGCCACCGAGGCAAGCATTCAGCGGTCCATCAAGGCAGTTGCAAAGGAGCTCGCCGACGCCTACAAGCCGCTGTTGCACCGCGATACCCATAGCAACAACAAGAGCATCATCAGCGACAGCACTGTGCCCATCAGCGATGAGAACCCGCTCATCATCATCTCCGTGCTGAAGGGCAGCTACATCTTCACAGCCGACCTGGTGCGATACCTTGTCGACTACGGGCTGCCCCACGCTGTGGACTTCATACGGGTGACGTCGTACAATGGCACAAACAGCACCGGCACGATGCAGCTGATTGCCGAGCCGCGCTTTAAGAACCTGCGCGGCAAGCATGTGCTCGTGGTCGAAGACATCGCCGACAGCGGCCGAACGCTGCGGTACCTCGTCGACAAGATCCAGCGCGAGCACCAGCCAGCGAGCCTTAAGGTCTGCGTGCTCGCCGACAAGCCGGGAGGCCGCGTGGTGCCGGTGCAGCCGGACTACGTCTGTCTGAAGGTGCCCAACAAGTACGTGATCGGCTACGGCTTTGAGGTGAACGACCGCTACCGCAGCCTCCGCCACATCTTCACACTCAAGCCGGAGGTGGCGACGCGGTACCCGTCACAGCTGTGACGAGGGCCAAGGCGGTGAAGCAAACAGCATCAACAGCAGCAACATTAAAGAGGACAAAGGAGCGAAAATGAAGATGGGGGCACACACAGAGGCGAAAGCGTGAAGGGCGACTATGTGTTTACAGAGCTGGGCGGACACCCAACAGATCGACAGGTAACCATAGAAGAGGGGAAAGGGATCGTTGATGTACGCACTGGCACTAACTGCGCACGTGTGAGTCTGGAGACATGCACGGCGTACGGTAGTGGACTGAACAACCAACAATAAAATCGTTATTACGAGGTTGAGCATTATGATACCACCGGTCCTTTTTTTTTCTCTCTTCTTTTGATCTTGTTGCTGTTCCGCTTCTTTCCTTCTCGCACCTCCCCATTGTGGGGCCACCAAGGTGGATCTTTTTGTTTTGTGGACGTACCCACGATGCTACGTACCGGAAATACTGTATACATATACGCATATATATATATATATATGTGTATTATATATATATGTACTATATACGCACGCACACACACACGAGGGGAAAAAAAAAGGAAAATACATTTTCTTGTAGCCATTTCTGCTTTCTTGTGAGTGGCTTCTAAAATGGATAGATTTTCGTGGACTTATTTTCATTTTTGTTTGTCTTTCCTGCGGTTGTGGAATCCGTTTTGTTTTTGTGTTCGTACTTTCTTTGGCGCATCCTCTCGGGATACCAAAAAGCACGGCAAGAAGCAGAAGTATACTGTTAAAGAAAGGAAGCCATAAGGCAGAAGGAGCCCAGTTCGTCTCAGTGACTAGCTCTACTCGCGTGAACTAACTACTCTCACACCCTTTCAGATACAGACACCTATATACTTCCTCACATATGCATACATGTGCACAGTTATATTATTATTATTATTATTATTATTATTATTATTATTCTCTCTCTCTCTCTCTCTCTCTCTCTATCAGTTCTTCTTGTTTTCGCCCTTGCAGTCGCCGGAAGGAGGCGAGGGTGAATGTGTGCGGGTCAGCCATTGACCTGCGAGTGAAGAGTTGCTGACTGTGGGCGGGCACACAAGAAGGATAGTTCTATATAAGGTGAACCCAACTGAAGGGTAGGGCACGCATACCAAAAACAGTCAGCGTATACACACTAGACAGAGAGGGATCATTGCGCCATTACTTATTCCTTCTTTTTTCTCTCTCCATATCCCTCAAGTTGTGAACAGCTTTTTTTTNGGGGGGGGGGCGTTGTTTAATTGCGTTGGAGGATGACCCGTGGCCGCCTTCTTGACACAGGCGAGCTGAGGTGCAGCTGTTCTCACACCAGCTGCCGCAGCAGCAATGAAGACCAGGCTAACGGTGGTGGGAGCGACACGAGGCAAATTTCTCAGTGGGCTCGTTTCCCGCGCAGCCACCAGATCGGCGCCGGCAGCTTCGGCACTGTGTTTCTCTGCCGCGATATGCTGCCGGCGAGTGCGTGGCATCACCAGTGGGTCGCAGTGAAGGCTGTGCCGCTGCACGCCCTCTCCGACAATGATGTGGCGCTTGCGATGAATGAGGTGGCTATTCTGCGCCACCTGCAGCACCCGAACATTCTGCGCTACGTTGACAGCTTCATCGATGACGAGGAGCAGATGTGCCTTGTTGCTGAGTACGCGGATGACGGGGACCTTGCCGTCCTGCTGCGGAACTGTGCCGAGGGCAGTGGCACATGTAAGTCCGCCGCTGATGCAGGCACCATGGTGCGCCGCGTCGACGACACGCAAGCTGCGGCAGGGCCCACGTGGGGTGCGGCGCAGCAGGACCACGCGCTAGCGCCTGTGTGGATCGAGTCGTACCGCATCAGCGATATCGTGCGGCAGTGCCTCGAAGCACTGTCGTATCTGCACAGCAACTACATCATTCACCGTGACGTCAAACCTGCCAACGTGTACTTGACGAAGAACGGCATGGTGAAACTTGGCGACTTCGGTGTGAGCAAGTTGCTGAACCTGTCAGATCCCATGACCGCAACGTTCATTGGCACGCCCTTCTACCTCTCACCGGAGCTTTGCCTCGGTGAGCCGTATTCCTTCGGCACCGACGTGTGGGCACTGGGCGTCCTCGCCTACGAGATGTACTGCCTGAAGCTGCCTTTCTCTGCGGACAATGTGCTGGCGCAGATTTACGTCGTAACGGAGGGAGAGTACGATAAGGAGGCACTCTGCCGCCCACACGACTTCAGCCTTTCCCAGCAGCGAGAGCTGGAGGCCATGTACGGCGATTCGTTTTCACAGCAGGAGGAAACACTGCACCGCCTCGTCGTGGCGCTGGTAGAGCGGATGCTCGTAGTGAATCCGCTGCAGCGCCCCACCGCAGCGCAGCTGCTACGGGAATTCTTTGTAGTCGACCCCTCACGCGCCCCATCACCCGCGTTGTGCCAGTCAACGTCATCCTCTGTGGTGTCTGCTGCTGCTGCTGCTGCCGCCGCCGCCACAGCAGCAGCAGCAGCGTACAGCGATGGTGCAGGGGTGTCGGTTGTGGCGTCGCTGCGCCTGACAGACTGTTGCCGCATCTCCGCCTCAACTGTGTCAACTTGTGCCGATGCTGCGGCGCTGCTTGCGAGCCGTGTTAGTATGACGTACGAAGGGTTGGTGGATCTACTGCCGACAGAGAGGCGAAGCGAGGTGCTGCAGTCCCCGTCGCGACCAACATCGCAGGCGGGATTGTGCCAGCCAGTTTCATCATTGCTCCAGAGCAGTGACGGTAGGGACGTGGACCTCGATGTTGCCATTCGCTCCGCCACGCGACACATGATATCGGGGACGATTGAGAAAATACCGTGGCTGCGGCACGCGGAGGCGTTTTCGTCGTTGAGTCTGCACGAAGGCTACGACAACGACGTAGTCCGCGTGGATTGGATGGACGAGGACCACTTTTCACTTGTCTCGCCCCAAAAGAGACGCTCCTTGACGGTGTCGCAGAGACCGTACGATGCTGCCATGGCATCGCTGGAGCAGCAGGTGGTGCCACCAGCAGTGGACCACGGAGCGGTGGGAAGGGAGGATACCAAAGAGATGGGGACAGGAACATTAACAAAAACAATGACGTCAACAACAAAAGCAGCAGCAGCAGCAGCAGCAGCAGCGGCATCGACGGCGGCGATGGCGGTGCTGAAGACCCCGATGTCATCTGTGGAAGGGGTGCCGCCGCCACATGATATTTCATTGGGGTTGGCCGCCGGCATAGAGGGTGATAAGGAGGCGGGGGCACAGCAACAACAACAACAACAACGGAAGCAGGAGCAATGCCCCGTGGTCGGACGCTGCCAAGGACTCTCCACTGAAACGCTGGAGGCTATTTTACGCAAAAAGATTATGGCGAGCTATTTGCGTCGGCAGCGGGAGCTAAAGGCTTTGCGAGAAGCGTCTGCCAGTCGTGAGGAGGAGGGCTCACGTCAGCGTGCAGAGCTTAACGAGCTGTATGCTAGATCCTTTTCGGAGAGGCGGAATCAAATGTCGGCGCGGCGAGATGGGGCAGGGACGAGTGGCACCGTCGACCCACCGTCGGCGCTAGCAACAACGCAACGTCCAAACCTGTACCCATCGGTGGTACCAGAAGTGGGGACAGCGACACTGGCCACGGCATCTTCAGCAGGCGCGGGTGACCCCACGAAGCTAAACGCGCTTGAGCGCAAACTCAAAAGCCTGATGGCCCCAACTTACACACCGGATGACACGCGCCGCAGGATGGACTTGACATTCCTCACGACGGAGGTGATGCGGCTTGCAAAGGACGACGCCGCAGTGGCGGAACGCTGCGCCACGTGGGCGGCGCATCCGCCGAAGCGTGTAGACTTCACCAACACACACGAGGAGGATGTGGAGCGCCGCAGCACCTCGTCGGCGGGCGATCCGCAGCGTGGGACGGATGCGACGGTGTACGAGACACCTGTGACGCTCACTATTGTCAGCAGTGAGGCGCACGTCACTCAACGGAGCACGCCACCCGCCGCGAACGCACCGACGGGGGTGCTCATATTCCCCATCTGCATTGGCCTGAAGCCGCTGCGCCGGCGAACGCGGNCCCGCCGCGAACGCACCGACGGGGGTGCTCATATTCCCCATCTGCATTGGCCTGAAGCCGCTGCGCCGGCGAACGCGGCTGGACGGTGTCGTGTGGCGTGTAAAGGAGGCGCTGAAGGCATACGGCCTCGACTACGCTCTACTGTTCCCGCTTGACATTGATGACGCGGAGGAGGTGAACGCGGAGGAGCTGCGGCTACGCTACATCGACAGCGTGGGGGACGTCGTTGCGGTTGCCGACGCCTCCGACTGGGCATACGTGGTGCGGGACTGGCGTGGTCGAAGGAACCTGCCGTGGATGCAACTGTTCATGGTCGTGCTGTAGTGACAGAAAACGAGTGAGTAGGTCTGCGCGAGAAGAAAAAGGAGGAGGAGGAGGTCTGTACAAGCGTGTTTTCGTTCGTGCATCTGTGAGTGTGTGTGTGAATGTGTGTTTATGACCGCAAAACGGTGAAGCTACTTCTCCCTCACTCTCACTCCTCGTGCTTTACGATTTTCATCTGACTCTCCCGTTTGCTTGGAGCGATTTGGGCGTTTTGTGTCTATTCACTACACAGAAAGTGAAACAACTCGGGAACATTCAACTCTCTCTTTGACCCCCCCCCCTCCCCCCGAAAGGGCTCGTAGCTGTTGCGTGAAAGAGTACGAGCGGCCAGTGGAGGCAAACATCAAAAGAAAAGAAAATTTGGAGTTAGTCCTGCTTATTTCTGTATGAAGTTGACACGGATATTTGATATGACTGCGAGCAATTACGCACAGAAGCTAAACCGCAAGTACGGCCTCCTCTTTACAGCTGGGCCGCTGTCCACATCCGCAACTGTGCGGGCCGCGCAGCTGGACGACTACGGCAGCCGTGACGCGGATTTTCTCGCCGCCGTCGCAGAGGTGCGGCGCAGCGTACTGCGAATCGGCGAGGCCCCGGAGGCGGATTGGGCCTGCGTGCCGATTCAGGGCTCTGGTACAATGGGCATTGAGGCAGTGATCAACACAATCATCCCACCGAGGGATGCGGGCGCCTTTATAGTGCTGCGCAACGGTGCCTACTCTTACCGCATGGCCTCCATCGTGAAGAAGCGTGGTGGTACTGAGTTGGCCGTGTTCGACACGGAGGAGGGCGCTGACGTGGACGTTGCGGCGTTCGAAAAGCAGCTCTGCTCCATAAAAGGGCCACTTGCGGCTGTTGGTATTGTCCACTGCGAGACGAGCACAGGCATGTTCAACCCCGTTCACGAGGTGTGCGAAATTGTGCGCCGCCATCGCCCGGAGGCCACCGTCTTCGTGGACGCGATGAGTTCGTTCGGCGCCGTTGAGTTCCGTGTACCGGATGTGTGCGACGTGCTAGTGACGTCCGCGAACAAGTGCCTTCAAGGCGTCCCCGGCTTCTCCCTTGTGGTGGCGCGACGCGCGCTGCTGGAGCGGTGCCGCGGTTGCTCGCCGAGCTTCACACTTGACGTGACGAGCCAGTGGGATGGCCTCGAGAATAGCGGTGGACAGTTCAACCAGACACCACCGGTGCAGGCGATTGTGGCGCTGCAGCAGGCATTGCGGGAACACGCAGACGAGGGCGGCGTTGCCGCGCGCGCAGAACGCTACAGGGAGATGAACCGCTACATCGTCAACCGCATGACGGGTGAATATGGATTTGAGCTCTTCCTTGACGACACGAAGCCGTCGTATGGCTACACCATCACTGCCTTCCACAGCCCACGGGCGGTCAACTGGGATTTTAACATGTTCTACAATGAGCTGAAAGACGAGGGCTTTGTGATATATCCCGGAAAGGCATCATTCGCCGATACATTCCGTATCGGGACACTTGGGGATATTCACATGCCAGATTGCGTTGCGCTAATGGATGCCGTGGGAAGAGTTCTGGCGCGAATGAACGTCACGCTTAAGGGTAGTATCAGGTGATAATTGTGCTTTCCTCTGACACCTGCAACTGTACAATGGGCCCGTACGATCCTCTACTTTGAAGGGAGTGCGTTTAATAAATGTAAACCCCATCCACTCATTTGGGCTTTCCCAATCCCCTCTTGCCAGTCTTCGTGTATTCCTTAGTTGGATCGCTAAACAGTAGCCTGCACACCTGTGGTGGGCGTAGCGGTGCAGGACATCAATAGACCTCCTTAGACTTGGTCTCATAGACTGCGATCATGTGGGATCGTTTTGCATTCTTTAGAGCGGAGGCGCCGCCGACTCCACAGCCAGCGGCACCCGCGCCGCCGAAAATCCACGCAACAAGCCGCAGCGGATCCGTGCCATACGTGCACTCACAGGCGGATGAAAGCATCATACGGCTGATGCGCCACATCCGGGCGCAACTCGCGGCGCACCCGTACATCATCCCCGGGTTTGCTGCCACCGCTGCCATTGGCTATGCGTGCCTATGGGTTTGGCACAAGTGCTGTGAGCAGCAGCCACACATTAAGCCAGCTGCTCCCTCGACCAGCAGTTGGCGATCATTGTGGTCATGGCTACCACTTTTTACTCGAATTAACAGTCTCAAGAGCAACAACAAGAGCGGCAGCAGCAACACGGTGGATGGAGGGTCAGGAACTGACAGCAAACGCCGCACCCGCCCCTTTTCCTTGTCATCAGCGTCCGCCTACACAGGAGGTGAGAATGACGACGACATCAACTTCGTCGACGCCGCGGAGAGTACATTCCGCATGTTTCAGCGGCGTCTGGAGCGGACGCACGAGGCGCCACTTCGGCGCGTGCTCGGCGAGCTCGAAAGTCTCGGCGAGCGCTGGCGACGGCTCGTCTCGGGCGACGAAACTTCAGTGGACACGAGGCACACAGCGGAAGACGGCAGTCTGTTGGGGTCCCACCGGCGCGGAGGCGGAGGCAACGACAACGAC